CCCTGAGCAGTATTCCTGCCGTGAAGAGCATCGCTGCGCGCACCCGCCGTACCCTAACCGAGCGAGATGACACCGCCACCGAAAAGGCCGCATATCATGACGAGGACGGTGTGGCGACGGATGAATCGCTTCTCAAGTTCTCGGATACCTGGCAGCGTGCCGCCATCGTCCTGTTTTCTTCGACTGGGCTTCTTGCGACGCTGGGACTTGCAATCCTGACCACATTGAACTCTCACGCGAGGAACCCACTCTTCGCGTGGCTTCAGTTCGCCAGTTGGGTTTGTACAAACCACAAACTTGGGGACGACGTGGTAGTGGCTCGGTTTGGCAGCTAATTTCTGTATATTAGCTACTACTTCTTTTCCAAGGAGCCGTCTTCTTCGTCGAGCCTAGATCGACGGAACGATACACTCTGGGTCACTTCGCCTTCCTGGGCAGTATCTTCACGATCCTCGTCGTCGGCTTCGAACTTTACAGCAATGATTTGTTTCGCAATAGTCCCACGGACGATCAATTGTGGCTCGGTCTGACCACCGTTCAGCTTGCAAGTGCCGTTCTACGAGCGTTGGCCAGCATCCTGCTTCCCCGTCGCCCGGATGTGTTCCACGATGGTACTTTGATCGACAGAGAATTCTCGGGATCCGCATTGAGCCGATATTCATTCGCCTGGGCTAGTGGCCTGCTCAACTACACCGCGAAGAACCGCACGCTGGCCCTCACGGATTTGCCTAAGCTTCGAGCGCAGACAAGAGCAGAAACCCTCCATCCTCGCTTTGAGCAAGCCAAGCAGTCTCGCAAGACATGGCAAGCTATCGTCCAGGCGCACTGGCCAGCGATACTCTCGACCTTGTTTCTCACTCTGCTGGTGGGCCTTTTGAGCATCGGCCCACAAATGGCGCTTCTCAATATCCTAGAAGCCCTGGAGGCCCGAGGAAGCGGCGACTGGGACCCCCTGCGGGCAACATCCTGGATTGTGGGCCTGGGATCGCTGATGATTATTTACTCGCTCTTCGAGGCCTGGCTGCTATGGGTGGTATGTGCGAAGCTCTTCATTCCCATCTATGCCGAGATCTCAGCCCTAGTTTTCGCCAAGTCGATGCGTCGGAAAGACGTCAAGAACGTCCAAATGTCGAAAGAAAAGTCCAATGCGGAAAGCACGACAGAAGCTGGATCAGGGACAAAGGAGGAGGAAGAGGAGCTTGATGACGAGGCGGCCGTGAAAAAGACGCGACAGAGCATTATCAACCTGGCCGCCGTCGACGGAAGACGCATCACTCAGTTCACCACATTTGCCTACCTCATTCCATCCTCCATCTTCAAGCTAATTCTCGGGTGTGGCTTTTTGATAAAAATCCTAGGATGGCGCAGCGCTCTGTCTGGCATCGCTGTTGCGGTCTTGGTCACACCATTGAACTCCTTCGCAGCCAAACGCTACACGGGCGCTCAGGTCAAGCTCATGAAGATGAGAGATCAGAAGCTGGCCATTGTCACAGAGGTACTCCAGGGAATTCGCCAGATCAAGTTCTCGGGCCTCGAAGCACAGTGGGAAGCCCGGATCCGGGAGGCGCGAGAGAAAGAATTGAGCGCTCTGTGGAGGTCGTTCTTTTTCGACATCATTCTGATGGGCATCTGGATTCTTGGGCCTATTGGCCTCTCTGCAGTCTCGTTGACAGTCTATGCCATGCTCCATGGTGGTCTCTCTGCCTCGGTCGCGTTTACTGCCATGTCTGTCTTTAGTTCCCTCGAGCTTTCCCTTGCCATCTTGCCAGAGATCATCTCCCAGGGCCTGGAGGCGAAGGTCAGCGCGGACCGAATCGACACCTACATGGCCTCATCCGAAAGGGTGATTACTACCATCCCCGCCGATGAAGTCGCGTTCAGGGATGCCTCGGTCGCATGGCCATCGGAGCAGGAAGCTGGAACCGCAGATGACACCGATCGCTTTGTGCTACGCAAGCTCGACCTTGCCTTTCCCAACCAGGGCCTCAGTATCGTGTCGGGTCGCACGGGGTCTGGCAAGAGTCTGCTCCTGGCTTCAATCCTTGGGGAAGGTGACTTGCTTCAGGGAACAGTACATGTGCCTGTACCACCTTCTATTGAAGATCGATTCGATCATCGGGCCACGAGTGCCAATTGGATCATCGATTCAGCCATTGCCTATGTCGCTCAAATCCCATGGATTGAAAACGCAACAATCAAGGATAACATCTTGTTCGGACTGCCCCACGATGAAAAGCGTTACCGGAAGACTATCTCTGCGTGCGCGCTGCAGAAGGACCTGGAGATGTTGCCCGATGGCGATCTGACCGATATCGGAGCGAACGGGGTCAATCTCAGTGGTGGCCAGCGATGGCGAGTCTCGTTTGCACGCGCCTTGTATTCGCGTGCGGGCATCCTTATCATGGACGATATCTTCAGTGCGTTAGATGCTCATACCGGGCGTTATGTCTACGAAAACGCACTCACTGGTGAGCTTTGCCAGGGCAGAACGCGCATTCTGGTGACGCATCATGTTGGCCTGTGTCTTTCTCGCGCGGACTATTGTGTGGAATTGGAAGATGGAAACGTTCGCTATGCTGGCCCGGTCACTGAGGACAAACGCTCAAATCACCCAGGGCACCCTCTGCACGAGGAAGATGCCGGTGATGAGATAGCGCTCATCGAAGAGGAATCCGTTGAACAGGTAATCTCCCACACTTCCCATCGGCGGCTTAGTATTGTACAACAGGAGACGACAGTCAAGCCGACTGCGGCGAAGAAGTTTGTCGAGGACGAAAAGCGAGAGGTTGGCTCTGTCCGATTCTCAGTTTATAAGGCCTATTTCTCTATCGGTGGCCACAGACTTCGATGGTACATCACGGCGATTGTATTTCTCGGTTACACTTCCTTCTTGGTCGGCAGGGTAAGCATCAACACGCACTTTCCTAAAAACCAGTATATGCCACCGGACTTAGACTGACTGACAATTATCACAACTATAGTCGTGGTGGATTAACGTGTGGACTGGCTCGTCATCGTCATCGCAGACCCATGCCAGTCTCAAACAGTACAGCATGGTTATGTGGCAACAGCCTATATCGAATTTCAACGCAGCACCCATAGACTCAGACCTCAAGATGTACTTGGGGATTTATATCGCAGTCAGTGTCCTTGCATGCGTGATGGGCACCCTGCGCTTCTACTTGATCCTCTCAATGAGTGTCCGCGCAGCCCGCAATCTGTTCAACCGCCTGACATACGCCGTGCTCCGTGCTCCCATGCGCTGGCTGGATACTGTACCGCTGGGTCGAATCTTGAACCGTTTTACATCCGACTTTAATTCCGTGGATTCGATCATCGGATACCAGCTAGCCTTTGTAGTGACGCAAATGCTTAATGTCTGCGGAATCGTGGTGGCAGGCGTTCTTGTCAGTCCACTAGTGATTATTCTCGCCGTGATCCTCCTGGTTGTTTGTCTCAGCCTAGCCCTGAAATACCTGGCGGGGGCGCGAGAGGTCAAACGCCTCGAAAGTACTGCCAAGAGCCCTATCTTCGAGCATTTCGGGTCCAGCCTGGCGGGACTAGTCACCATTCGCGCATTCAGCAAAGCGGATATCTATACGGGCATGATCTACAAGAGGATCAATGCACACGCGCAAGCCTGGTGGGCCATGCTGCTGTTCAACCGCTGGCTGACCTTCCGCATGAGCGTTGTTGGGGCACTCTTTGCCACGTTGACTGCGGCTCTGATTGTGAGTCTGCCAAGTATCTCGGCCTCACTCGCCGGGTTTGCACTTAGCTTCGGGTTGCTGTTCAACACGGCAATTGGTATGGCGCTGCGGAGCTATGCAGATGTCGAACTCAGTATGAATGCGACCGAACGGGTCATCGAGTATTCCAAAATCGAGCTCGAAAACCAGGGCGGCGTTGAGCCTCCCGCGGCGTGGCCTACCGAGGGTCGTCTGGAAGTCCAGGATCTGGTCGTAGGATACGCGCCTGATTTACCTCCGGTTCTCAAGGGTTTAAGCTTTGCTGTTGAGAAGAACCAACGAGTTGGCGTCGTTGGCCGCACGGGTGCTGGGAAGTCGTCATTGACTCTGGCCCTCTTCCGAATCCTCGAGGCCCGTGAGGGTAAAGTCTTGATTGATGGGCTGGATGTTGCTAAGCTTACGCTGCACAGCCTGCGCACTCGGCTCGCTATCATCCCTCAAGATCCAGTGCTGTTCTCCGGCACTGTGCGGTTCAACCTTGACCCTTTCGAGGAGTACACCGACGGAGAACTCTATGACGCTCTGGCACGGGTGCATCTCATCTCCGAGAACGACGACGAGGGAGTCGCTACAACTGCTGACCCAACAGGTCCAACCCCTCGTCCAAACACAAACAAATTCACCTCGCTGTCTGCTCCAATCTCAGAAGGGGGTCTGAACCTCTCCCAAGGCCAGCGTCAACTGCTATGCCTCGCACGCGCGATTGTATCGCGCCCGAAAATCATGTTCTTGGACGAAGCCACATCGGCCGTGGACATGGAGACGGATGCCCTCATTCAGCAGTCCATCCGCGCCGAGTTCGGCCGCAACAATACCACGCTGCTGGTGATCGCGCACCGTCTGAGTACCATCGCAGATTTTGACCGTATCTTGGTCATGGATGCCGGACGCGCGGTTGAATTCGGGGCACCCAAGGAGCTACTGGGGATCGAGAACGGTGTGTTCAGGAGCTTAGTAGATAACAGTGGCGAGAAGGAAGTGTTGGAAAAGATTATTCTCCGGCATGATTAGACAGCCGGGGTCGCCGTAACAGGATTGGTCCAGCACATCTTCTCTTTCAAGATATGATGAAATTGATACATGTATCTAGTATCTAATGCCCACCCACCTAGACTCACTATCTTGCGTATTGCAAGACTGCAGGCATATATGGGTTCAAGTAAGGAAAAGCGGAAAGGGAGAAACATACAAAGAAATCTAATGTCTACCTAGTAACGGTCAAGATAATCCATCAAAGTCGAGCCCTGAACATTACAGGCCGCATGCATCCTCACCCTCATACCCAATCATCTTCTCCAGCACCTCCCCGGCCAGCTCCTGAGCATGTATACTGACGCTCTCCTCCTTCGCCACGTACGCAAACTGTTCCTTCCACTGTTGCCACCGTTACCCACTCCACATGTCCGACCGTTGACTGATCTTCTCCCGCTTCGTGCGTTGCTGGTATAAATAACGCCCCAACTCGGGCCGAAGCAGCCACTGCACACCAGCAATGACCCATCCCGCCAGTCATCGAACCCCTTGGTCCTTGCTGTTGAGCCATTCTTGATCATCGGAGTCAATGTCATTCCGGCCTTCGGGGTGCCAGGAATGCGTCGGCAGAATCGTCTCCAACGAGGAGATCCAGCCGCAGTCGATGAGATCTAAGGCTGTGATGCGGGCAATGGCGGACTGGAAGTTCCACATTCGGAGGTCTGTCTCCGTGGGTGGTAGACGTAGCTGCTCAGCTGAGGCCGGATGGTAAATGTACGCTAGAATTATAGTTAGTGGTGGTGCTCTTGAAGTGGTGAAAGTAAAGCCCAAGGGAAGAGAAGGGTTACGGTGATGGAACAAAGCCCAGTCGGAAATGCATAGAGCAACAGACCACCTTACCATCACCTTCAATGCGAGCAGCCATCTCCAGAGACAACCAACCGCCTCCCATCGGCCAGAACTCCAAAGTCGTATACATATTCTCTTCCTCGTCATCGTCTCGCGGGGATGTCAGTGTTATGATGCTGTGCTTCGGCAGAGCTCTTAGCGCTTCCAGAAAGCCGGTTATGCAATCTTGACCGATATGCCCAGGGGGAAAAGCCGAGAACAGCTTGAAAACCCAGTGCATGAGCATCTCAGTATGACCCCCAGGATTCGGTCAATAAATTTCCATATCTGTTTCATCTCCACCTTCGGGCAATGGGAGCTTTCCGCGAATCTCTTCGGGAAGCCTTTCGAGGTTAAAATGATATGCTCGGGGGACTTCATGAACCCGGTCGGCTTCTTGAGTTATGTATGCATCGATGTCTGTTGCTGCCTGCTCTAGTGTCATGTCACCGTTGGCAACAGCGGCCAGTCTGTTTTTATAAAAAAGGTCTTCTTCTTCATCATCAAGATGCTCGAATAGGTTGAAGTCCAGGAATGTGTCGAAGTCGAAATTCTTGATACGGGCTGAATAGGACATGATGGGCGATGGTATCTCGGGCTGGATATCAGAAAAGAACATCCAACATCCTGGCCCCACGACACCGAAGATATGAAGATACGGATGGGAAAGAGGAGGAGGTGGAGGTGGAGGTCGTGCCCGGCCGCGGTCGCTCGCGCGTCGTGATATGTTTGCGTTGATGAGTCAGCGCCGGCCGGTTCCTGCCTGCCTGCCTGCCTGCCCGGATGAAACCGTATCCAAGTGGCGAAGTAGAGGTATACTAAGAGAAATAGCGACTAGCAAGAAGTGGCATAGCTTGATAGCCTACGCAGTGGCTTTTCCACTTGGGCAGTGTGTGAGCGTTGTGTAAGGTGTATTACATAGACAGGGAAGTCGGCCGATGTCTGAGATATATTATATACAGGAGCTTGTGTTCGCCGGTGGACATCCCCAGCACTGTCCTGTCCCTACTGTGACAAGAAACCAGCTCAATTGAGTTAGTGGCTAACTAGTACTGTACCTACCTAGTAACTTGGTACTTCACATCATCTAACGTGTCCACAATTACCACCAGACGTCGCATCAGCGATTCCGAATCCATATATTTTGTTTACAGCTCGGCCGCGCTTACCGAAGCAATTTGTTTAGAGGGGGAGGGTTATCCGTTCAAGTTGAACCTCTGGACTGGGGACGTTACACCCATCGCTGCATTCGACAGAGCTGGTGGGTACACCAGAGTCAACCTGTCCCTGGGCAAGAATGCCGCCCAAACGCTCTACCTCGGCAATAGCAACCCATACGGCCTTCCAAATCTCAACAGGTATGTCACTACAACGGATGCGGATGTTTTTGCTCAGTCGCAAAATATATATTTGAGAACCAGCAAGAATAGAACTCACACTACACAACTTTCAAGCGGAAAGTCCGTCAGTGTTGCCTTCAGCAATGTGCCTTCTCCAATTGCTCTCAGCTCTTGGATTCTATCCGTCGAAGACTGGTCTCCTTCGATCGTCAATGAAACTGGGCTCAGTTCTTCCCTGACTTCGAAGGTCACTTTACCGAGCATCCACTTGAACAGCCTCAAATCTTGGACTAACATTTCAGGACTGGAGAGTGCAAGTGGCGTTGGAACTTATAAGACTACTGTGAAATTATCCTTGGGCTCGTCAAATCAGAGCTCTGAAGAAGACCTTGCGGTCTTCATCAACTTTGGTGATGTGGGGGGGGGGGTGGGGGTGGGGGTTGGGGCTTGAAGATCAATAATGTCCAGGTCAATGGAGTTGACTTCCTACGATCGGCGCCTCTAGAAATTACTTCTTACGTGAAGAATGGCCCCAATGGTATGTACTGTGTGCCTTGAGTGGTAGAGCCTTTGCTGACGTGACGAGCGGCAGACATTGAGATCACAGTTGCTACTATATTGTGGAACAAGCTACGGAAGACGTGGCTTGCTATCTATGGGTCTCTAGAGGCACAAAAAGTCGGTCTGCTGGGCCCTGTTACTCTGACGTACTATGCCCAGAAGCAAATTTGACCATGCTGTTCGTGCTGCAGTAGAGGGGAAAGTGGCTGTATGTATGGATTGGTTCGTTGTCCGTACATGTACGAGGCCGCCTGCCCGGCTGTTTAGCCCTCGGGTAACAGCACCTTAGGAAGGCTCAGTTACCGATCTAGACTTAGCAGCCTGACTCTCATAGACCATATCTGGTCTTTTGAGATCACGCCTCGGTGTGCTACCAGGAAAGAGAATTTAACACGGCACTCGCGCCAGTCCCCGCGATTGCCTTATTCACTACACAGCTAGGTCGCCATAAAATGAAGCATGGATGTGGTGCACATCCGCTGAGCAATAAGATGTCTAGTTGAGCATTACGATCTTGTAGTGTCACTGTATTCCATGCACATGGTGTAAATATAAATGCGAGGTAAAGCTGACAACATAGCCACGGGACACGGTTGGGCTTCTGAATAGATGGCATCTTGTTCTGTTATGTCTTATGCATTCAAAACTCCATCAAGGTAGCTTGTCCAGGCCAGTTCCTCGCTTCATTGCTCGGTCCTATGCGACACATATGAGCAATCAATCCATGTCGTTGAGAGACGCGAGAATGGATGCACATGCTGGCACTAACCAAAATACCCGTCGGTATGTATTTGGAAACGACCTTCACCATGGAAGCCATAGCTCCGCGCCATACGGGACCTGAGGCTCCGGCCAGGATATCCTGCACAACCTGGCGAGCAAAATCGTCGGGTGCGCTCTTGCTTAAGACATCCTTCCCGGCACCGCGTATTTGAATCTCCGGAAGCGCCTTGTGGTAGAGTGAGCTCTTGGGCAGGGTCAGGGTGGTGTGTGACATAACATTTGTGGCGACGGTGCCGGTGACAAGAGAGATAACTCGAACGTTGTAGGGCTGTAGCTCCAACCGAAGGGTCTCGCTCCAAGACATTAGAGCAGCCTTTGAGGCGTTGTAAACACCTGGTGCAAAGTATCAGCGATAAATCCCCCCTCAAATCTACTGCAGAGGCTTGTGGGGGAAAGGCAGACTCATCCAAGGGGCGTACAAGAAGCCTGAAATAGAGCAGACGTTCACAAGAGTGCTGCTCTTGTCGGGGACCAGCAGCAGGGGCATGAAAGCCTGGGTGACGGCGAGGACGCCCCAGAAATTCACATCGAACAGACACTTGGCCTTGTCAATAGAGGTGTCTAGCGCGGGGTAAACAAGGGATTGGCCGGCGTTATTGACGAGGATGTCAAGGGTATCACCATGGGAAGACAAATCCTGTCGAACGGTGTTGACAGCAGCGGCAAGGCTGATCGGATCGACAACGTCGAGAGCCACGAGGGTAACATTTGGAAGTTTAGCAAGATGCTCCATCTTGGCTGGGGAGCGAGCAGTAGCATAGACTCTCAGCCCTTGGGCGTGCAGTTCTTCCACCAGAGCCGAGCCGATTCCGCCGGCGCTACAGCCGGTTACAAGGGCGCAACCGGGCATCGTTCCCACAAATAAGGAAGTCACAAAGAAAGAAAAGAAGGCGAAAGGTACCACCGAGAAGGAATGCACCGTGGAAATGCGAAAGTGATGCTGGAACTTTGCAGTTATATCTTGGTTCTTCTTTTGGCTGGCCTGTCTATCCCCGGCGCCGCACCCGCTAGGAAGGGCAAGTTCCGGAATCGACTACGAAAAGTAGCTTAATAGCCAGCAACTGATACTGCTTTGTTCTGTCTGGGCAAGCTCCAAGATGGGAATTTGCTTGTGGAAGATCATGTTTTTCTTCCCCCAAAGCTCGTATATGGGAAAGTCGACAAGGATTTGGTCGATCATCACGCTCGTCTATGCCAGGCGAAGTCGGGACTTTCCTGTTATGGTCATTCCCGAAAGGCTGGGCTCGGCTGAGCTTAGCTCCGACAGTGCAGTCCCTTGCCAGCCTCGTCCGCAACTCAACCCCCTTATGGCCCAGCGACGGCCAGTGTATGGATGGTAGATGGCGTGTAAACTCTTTCCCTAGTCTATCATCACAATTCACCCACCCGCTTGACTGCCAACTGACGCCGGCGGTCTTGAAGCACTGTCTAATTTGGCGGGAGGGATTGTCAACCTCCGAGGTGAGTGAGTCTGATCTCGGACATACCAATTTTGGTTAGTCTCGGTCACACACCGATTATTTCGGGAATTACCCAATACGGCTTACTGTGGGGTGATCGGACTCCGAGTCAGCCCCGCAGTCAGTCGGATTCGATTTGAGAGGTTTGTTAGCTCAAAGTAAACATATCCTTTTACTGTCCACGGGCCATTTCCAAAGACCGGACTAGTAGACCAAGCGATATGCTGTATCTGCGAAGGTTGGAGGTTTCGAATCTACTCTTTGGCCCTGTGGGGTTCCACATGTGCTTTCGAACCGATCCTCCGGCCAAATTGCTGACATACCGCTACAGCAAGCACCCTTGTCACCCATGATGAACCAATCTCATGCCCGGTGCGACCCAAGTCAGTTAGATTTGGGCCTGGTCCTTGTGGTTGCCTATCCTTCAACTCCCCCATATTTAAAGCAGCCATTGCGCACTAAGCTCGGTCTTCCCCCCCGCTTAACACCTGCCCTTTGACAATGTTTGGAACCCTACGCTACCTTACCAACAACCAGACCGGGGAGTTTCTCGAGCGCGAATCTGGAGTGGTTGGAACTGCGCTAACCAATAAACCTCGACACGCGGCTTGTGATAATTGCCGGGTAAAAAAGGTACGGGTGACCCCAATGCCCAAGGCATTTGAAGAAAGGACGAACAGAATAAAGTTGCTGGATCTTGTGCAATGACCATCTCAAGGTTCAACCCAGACAATCGGAGAGCAATTAACAAAGATGTCCAAATAGATCCGCTGCAGTGGCCAAAGAGCAGGATGTTCGCGGTGCAACACTCTTTCCCTCCCCTGCGAATACACGCACGCTCCTGCGTGGAAATGTAAGAAGAAGACAGCGTCCAACTCGCGACGAATGAATCAGACAAATGACCACGGGAACTTTTCGGAATCGAGCACGAGACCCGGTCGATCCCCTCCCACAGTCGCTGCCCTCACGGCTGTGGTGCAGCCTTGCTCATTGACTACGGAACCACTACTGCGTATGCGGGAAGAGAATTATCCAGAGCTGGACAGGCAAATGCAACAAAGATCAGGATATTCTGACGCAGTTTTAGATACAGCGTGGGAGCAAGTCTCAACGTGGTCTAGTTGCCTCGAATGGTCGCCCGCAAAGGAGGTTACTTTTATGCCGGAATCCGATTTTCCTATAGCAGAAGATCCACCACTCAGCCCAGATTCACTGGTTCCTGGGTAGGTACTATTACCCCCATACTCTGCTTGTCGGGACAGAAACCGGGTGTCCAGAACATGATTACTGATGGCCAACGAGTAGCTACCCTGCGCCGGAGAATACTGCACAGCGGCAGCAGACGGTGCCTCCCATCGTCGATGGATTTCCCCCCCCGGGTTTTCTTCTCACTCCACGGTTCAACTTGACCCACAATATTCGGTCAAGTAGTCATACCTCCGAGATTGCTGTGGAAGAGCAATCTTCGTGCTCATGCGTAAACTCTGCTGTCTTATTGCTAGATGAACTGCAGGCGCCACACCGTAACGGCGGCGGCTCTGGCGAGCAGAGTCTCGACTGCATCCTCTCGATTTACCAGGAGGTGCTCACCCTAAGCAAGCGCATGATCAGCTGCGACACTTGCCGAAGGAAGTCGGAGAATATGATGGTCCTTACTATGGTGTTGGAAAGATTAGCCATTCTGTGTAGGGAAGTGATTGATGCTTTTATCGTCCAACGAGGAGCCAGTGTCAATGTCAATGCCAATGTCAACCAGCCGCAGCGGTTGATCTTGGGCGAGTACCAGATCGAGGGCGGAGACTATGAGGTCATGATGGGGATGCTAGTGACGAGGCGCCTGTCGGAGTTGGAAGACCTACTAACCTGTATGAGGACGATCAGTGCTTCCACCCGCCGCCCTCACCAGCAGGCCAGATTGATGCGCGTTGGTCAGCATGTTAAAGACTTGTTTTCAAAGCTAGCATCTATCTGTCCTTCGGTCACCGAATGGAAGGTTGATGCAAATCGGTCACGGCTGCAAGGCGTAGGCAATTGACTCCACTTGCCACCAGAGCAAAATCAGTAGCAGGTACCGTGTTTTGAGATATATGAAGAATCTGTTGGTATTTAGGACCCTATATTCCTATACTATAGAGTATAGTGTATATGATATGTGATTGCAAACACTTAGATCCTACAAGAGCAGAAGAGGTAAAATAGTACAAGAACCGAATGCCTTCTGCACGGCCTAGTAAGATTCTGGCTGAATTACATGAAATCCGGAAATAACCTTTTTTGAATGTTTACCAAAACCATTCAATGAAGATATAGCAATAATATTCTTTTCAGTAGAGGAATTAGTTTTATATATAGACCCGATAAAACTTTTCAACATATAATAAGATTATTCATATTAGCCGATAATTCTTTTTACATAAAGTTTTTTTATAGGTATTTTTATCATAAATCATCAAGATCTTTTAATCTATATTATGTGTTTATATGATATAAGTTTTGTATTTTGACTTTGCTTAGCAGCTCATCTGTGCGAGGCCAAGGTACAGCTCCTCGGGGCGTCTGGAAATACTGTCTCATATTAATGATGAGCACATAGGCGCTCTTTAAAAAGTGCAATGAAGACACGTGGGTGACATCTTTGTTCTTGAATAACAGGTCAAGCAATAGGAGCGGGCCTTCAATGCCGAGTTCCTTGCACAGATAGAGCCTTAAACTATGGTTCTCAATGCCTCCTCCGGATTATATGTGTACTCCAACTCCCCGTGCCAATAGTTCTGGGCGGTCGCTTTCGATACTTTCGCAGCCACATCCAGCGCCTCCAAAACATCATCCGGCAAGGGGCCTTTCTCGAGGTGCTGGAGATTCTGTTCAAGTTGTGCTTGACTTGAAACACCAATAACGATGCCGTCATTTCCCCCGTCCTTAATGTTGAGAGCCGAATGATGGATCAGCCAACGAAAAGCTATTTCCAACAGGGTCAACCCAGAGCGCTGAGCGGCGGATTCAATAATACGTAAGGCTTCAAAGAGCTCGTTCTTGAAATAGCGCTTGCGGTAGACGTCTCCCACCTCCCCGTCAACATTCGAATATCGGCCTTCGCTTGGGATAGCATCGACTTGAAGCGACGTATACTTTCCGGAAAGAAGCCCACCTGCAATGGGGTTGTAAACAACAATATCTAAACCATAGCGCCGACAAGCCGCAACGAGCTCGGGATCAATACTACGGGTGATGGCATTGTAGACACATTGAAAGACCTGTCATTTGTCAGTCGGTGTCTTAACAAGCATGTGGGAAGCGGACCGTAGGTTGGACCCAGCTATTAGCTTTGCAGATCATGACCACCTCCGCCAGCTCGTAGGATGTGAAGTTGGAGATACCGAGCTTGCCAAACCTGCCCTTCTTATGAAGCTCATCCATCTTGCGCAAGGGTTCTTGAAAGGGGACCGTTCTATCGGCGGCATGCAGGTAAAAGATATCAACGTAGTCAGTGCCTAGCTCCTCGAGCGACTTGTTGAACATTTGTTCGAGTCTCTCGGCCTTGTGGGCACCGACCTTGTCTTCGTCGTTGGCGCCATACGGATACCATTTGGTTGCGCACGTGAGACCGCGCGCTTTCCAATTGGCAGCGCGGGTAAAAGCCTCCTGCTGGCCACCCACATAGCAGCGGGCCGTATCAATTTCACTGTAGCCTTGCGATTGAAAACAATCCAGCACCGAGTTGTAGGTGTCGAGAGAGGTGACGCGAGCGCCAGTTGAAGGGTCGGGACCGCTGTTAGCCCTATTAGCCTCGGTGGGTCTAATAAGGTGGCTATTTGGAGGCTTCACGAACTTACAACGTCATTGTTCCCAGAATGACTCTGGCCTTGCCTGTTCTGGATGTCATCGTTGCAATCACTTGTGATGTGTATGATATGATGTCTTTGTTCGCCAGGGTGTTGAGCTAGACTATAAATATAAGTAGTAGCTCTGATCTCGGGTCGGATACGATCCGATTCTCGGCCTCGGCTAACGGCTTCGGTTATAAATGGGATGTTTCCGCGCCTGCTAAGAAGTAATCAGTGTGTCCTTGTTATTTTACAGTTGCTTGCCATCGCTGTTGGAGTGTTGGTAGACGGGTGTCTACCACTTACTTCGAGCGCACGATGTTTGTACTACTCTATTCTATGGCCCGAATGTTACCCTTATTAAATCATGGCACTGATAGTGGCCGTTCTATGTCTATCAGAATCCTCTTTAGTCGCCTGGACCACGTGGCACCTGAATATAATAATTTCCCTCTTTACATCAGTGGGTCTTGGGTTACTACTTAGAGTCAGGGAACGGGACCTATGTATTCAGGTTAGTCAAACGCGCTGTTTCCAATTATGTCTAAAGTGTCGGTAATGCCGACAAAAGCTTTGAAAAGCCCGCTTAGCCTGTGCTGTTACTCCCATAACACATTCGCGCGTATGTTGAGGTCTAAGGTGGATATCCTCCAAGGCATAATTTGCCCCGCCTCGCCAACTCTACCACCGGCCATTATGGTTATCAGCTACGATAGCGAATACCTTTAAAAAGCAAGATTATCTTACTAAGTACGTTTATTTGTGTTGGAAGGAGTCAAGGGCGGGAATAGTCGGGACTTCTATTGCCTCTGGATCGGCTCAACAGCACGCGAAAAGATCCGCCATTCGGTTGGGTTCTTGACGGTCACCAACACTCAAACCTTTGGAGTAGTAGTTCTTGCGCCGAAAGCGACAGTGCAATAATGACGTCTTTTTCGGTCTACGGTCTTGGTCTCATCCGGATATAATTTCCCGCCCGCTATGATGGAGCCCTGCTGAGCTCGCATATGCCTACCAAATTCGGCGGAAGCCCGGGTACATGCACCCGATCGGGGCGGCGGGGCCACGCCCTTCAGCAATCCTCCTGCCGACCACTTATAACACCATGTGCTACTTTAGATTGTGTTCGGAACGATGCTACCTTGACATAATCCTAACAAGGAGCAAGTCAATGATGTCCATATATCTCGAAGCAGAAGCAACTGCAGACTACTATATGCGAAGGAACAAGAGCGGAAGGTAAACCAGGAACTGAACCAATCATCCCATACTACACTCAGAATAACATGCGATGGCAGATGGCATCTCTCCAAAATAATCTCCATCACGAAACAACCCAGTTTCGGCATATTCGGTGAGGCGGTATGTATATGGATATGTCGCTGTTTGAACCAGGCTGAGAAATTCTCATTTAGAGGACTAATTCGTCAACAACGACCGTTACGAAGACCGCCACCTGCTATATCGAGACCCTGCCCTCCAGCGCGTGACGAAATGACATCGAACAATTCCTTCGCCCAAAGACCGGTCGACACTGCCTATGTGAGAGTTGATGAGTCGAAGCGTCGACGAATCTCATTAGACACCTCGCAAAGATTAATACCTGTCCATGCCAGCGCAAATGCCAGGTACTTGACTATACTAGCTACCCCCTAGGCGACTATGACGTCAGTTAGGCAGTAAGGGTTGAAAACCTGACGTGTATCTTGATGCGTTTCGACGAGACTTGCATGAATGAAGTGTCGCGGCTCAAATCCCCGTATATAGCTTGATAGAAAAGGCTAATCTATGATTCACCAAGGTTTATACCTAAGATATTGGCTGATATCCTCAATGTGGCCATCCAGGTGTCTTCATACCTTTTAAAGAGGATACCTCAGAGATCTTCCACTCCATACAAGAAATACTCCTTGAATGTCTATCGAGCAATTTCACTATATACAGACTGAATTATAGATTCTATTATCTCGTGTTTCAAGGACAGACAGGAGTGCAGATAGGAGTTAATATGATGGTAGACGAATCTCAGGAGGAGTTCTAATCCTAGATCAGTACTATAGCTTTGATTTCCTTCTATTGGAGAAAGATAAATGAGTATCAACGGACAGCAGCTCTGGGCTAGTCAGCCCGCTGAGCCACTCAATTTTTTGGGATTGCATCTATCACAGATGGGAAGGCTCTACAGCTTGCAGCAGGGCTGTCATCCAACGTCCTGAAAGTTGTTCCTGGCATCAGATGCTGCTGGTCGTCTGCTATCAGTTTCTCCTAGTGAGCTGTCTAGTTATCGAAGGACATGTCCCCTTTCATTACGCACCTCTAAGTATTATTTTTCTCTGCTAACTAGGCAAGTAGACGGTCCAGAGCTGCACTGTGCAACTGCCGTGTATCACACCGCTATAAAAGAACTGTTAGGTATTATTTTGGAGGCATGGAAAATAGGTTGAAGTGCATCTAGATACCATTTAGAGCGTTTTTCCCAGATATTCGTGAGACTACTCAGCTGAAGCTACTATTTCCCAAGTCGAAGTCGAAATGGGTCGAGAAAACCGGCAGGAATGAAGTCCTCATGGGAGTAGCTTTGCAACTCTTGGCGATAAAGTTACTTCGATAAGAGCCAGCAAGACATAATGTAGATCAGTTGCTGATTGTAGACGGTGGTCGTCGTTGATTTCGTAGTGTAGGCTGCTCGTTCCAGAAAACAAGGTTGGGCCGTGGGACCTTTGCGGGACATGCTTCATGGCAGCGGGACACAGAAAACTAACTTTTGCCATGACCTTCGTCGATCGAGGTGTAGGAGATACTAGATCCAATGGATCTACTCTCTCCAGAACCTTGAACAACGCTAGTCCCCGCAAAATCGCTTTGCGGGGAAAGAAGGATTGTCCCCATATATGCCGATGCCATCCGCATATCAAATCGGTAATATCTGCCAATACCCCGAATCCTGCTAAAACATATGACATTCTGAACATGGCAATTTTCTCAAGTAGCAAACCTCGCACAGAATACGAGGAGGATGTTGTACCCGGCACGGATATTCTGCGTGACCGGGGAAGTAATGAGGTTCCCAACTCACATACAGCGTACGAGTTATTGTCGCTCTTTTCTTCTCTCTCCAGACTGGGGTTCTGATGCCAACAGCAGCCTCGTACCACGTCCCTCCGATGCCCCCCATGATCCACTGAATTGGTCGCCCACTTGGAAATGTATGTCTCCAGTCTGAATATCAAGGTCGGCGACCAGCTAATAGCTTATGTTCACGAGCACAGATCTTGTTACCGCAACTCAATTCCTTTTTCTATTCGTCTCCGTGGAATCTGCGCTTTCAATGGGCCCAATGTTTCCCTTCTTCGCCGAAGAATTCCATCTGGATGAGACCCAACTCAGCCTCCTGACCGGGGCGTGTGTTTTGGCCCTCGGCTACTCGAACTTTCTCATCGTCCCATGCTCGAACATATTTGGTCGTCGGATCACTAGTCTTGCCTTCTGTCTGCTAGGCACGGCGTCGTGTCTGTGGCAAGCACTTGCAAAATCCCATTCGAGCTTTCTGGTGGCACGGGTTGTCAACGGAATAGCCACGGCCACGAGTGAGACGGTGATGGTCCAGGTCACTTCGGACATTTTTTTCTTGCACGAGCGCGGTGCATGGACCGGCCTTTATTTGTAAGCTTCATGCTGCTAATCCTTGTTCCCCTGCTGACTGGTGTTGCCTCTAGTATGGGGTACTTTTTGGGCTTGTTTATCGGGCCCATCATCTCCGGGAATATTGCTCAAAAGTACGTCGTTGTCTACCATCTTAGGACTCAGATAGATAACTCATCACCTTTCGTTTAGCTTCGGATGGCGGAGCTTTTTCTGGCTATCTCTTGCCATGTCTGCGTTCAACTTCATTACTCTACTCGTTGTCTTCCCCGAAACTCGATATCTTCGCGACCATAAGGATGCTCCCGCATCCTCCGCTCAGCCCAGCTCTACAGAACCGATAAAACAGGAATCAACACACCTAGAGAACATAGAGACGCTCGACCGTGACATGAATATTCATGGCAAAGGGCGCCCATCCAAGATGCAATTCAAGCTATGGCAAACACCCGAGCCACAGTGGAAGCAGCTCCTCTTACGGGACTTGACAGTCCCATTCTACGCATTCCTATTCCCCGTCATCCTCTGGGCAGGACTGAACGTCGCTGGGCCAGCGAACCTCCTCCTATACTGGAACCTGACGGAGTCAGGAGTACTGAGTGCCCCACCGTATAACTTCTCCCCATCCAGTGTCGGCTACTCAAACTTCGCCTTCGTCGCCGGTGGCCTCGTTGGCCTCGTCACCGCGGGCCCATTTTCAGACTGGATCGCCGCCAGAGCAACCGCCAGAAACGGCGGGATTCGCGAAGCGGAGATGCGTCTCCCAGCACTCATTCCATACTTCATCACCACCGTCGTTGGTGTCGTCATTGGCGGCCTCGGATATGATCGCCAATGGGAGTGGCCTGTTATCATAGTCGTCGGGTATGGTCTCACGGGTCTGTGTGTGACTGCCGTTCCAACGATTGCTATTTCATATGCGGTCGACTGTTACGAACCAATTTCGGGAGAGATTATGGTCGTGGCGACGGTGATTAAGAATACCTGTGGGTTCGCCATGAGCTATTGGGTCATGCCGATGGCCGCGAGAAGAGGTTGGTTGGTCCCTACGATGGTGGAATTTTCGTTGACAATTGGTCCGTTGTTATTGGGGATTCCGATGTATTTCTTTGGGAAGAGTTTGAGACGGTTGACAAGGAACTCAAGAGTACATGCACTGTGAGTAACCGTTATTATAGGAGACACTGTCTCTCTGAAGGAGAATGTTGTCCGTGTTTCTCAATATGTGCGATCCAGATTATTGTAATTTACAGTGTGCTACAGTGTGCGATAGGTATAACCAGCCGTAGAAATGAGCACTTAGAATTGTCCCACCACAAGTTTCTTCTCCCTGTTAAAATAATCACAAAGCCTACGGGGAACAAGGTCAACCTAATACGAGTAAGAAGATCTCCAGTTTCCGTCGTGGGAAGCACAGACTTGTGGAAGACAGCTTTTGTTTACAAATACTATACAATTTGTCCAAGCTCGTTAGAATCACTCTCAAGCGTGATCTCTTTCTACTCTGCTTACGATAATCCAATCCCCGATGCTTTAAATCCGTCACTTCATTCTCATCTGAGATATCCAGACAATCAAGATACAAAAGCTGCCACCGGCTTATTATGCCCCCCCTCCAAATCCCCATGCAGCAACACGACAGCAATCGTCCCAAGCTGCTGCGCCAACCCCCAATGACCAATCCGTTTGAGTAGATCCACATACCGACAAGCAGTCGTCGTCCTTGACGGAAGTGGTTTATTATTTTGAAAATCCTGTGACTCGAGGAGAAGTTTCCCTGGATTCACGGTGATGCACTTCAGCTCTTCGAAACTATGATCGTGGAGATTAACATCGAGGACCCTTGGCTCGTTTGTGGTGGTGTCGCCGCTGCTGATGCCGCCGAATTTCAGATAGCTGTACCAGACGATGGTTGCTCTGAATAGGACTCGGGGGACATGGATGGCGGGCTCGATTCCTAATGGTAATGCCTCTAGTAGATGGAGGATTAAGATAGCGTGGACGGCACATCGCGTGCCGGCTGGGGAGTTGGCCCATTCGGTGGCGTATTTCTTGTGGGGTTGGGCTTCGGTGTAGCCTTCACGGCCGATGGCAAGCTCCAGGCGGTCGATATTAGCATGGAGACTGAGGAAGCCGGAGTGCCAGAGAGCCTGGAGGCAGAAGGTGTCTCTTTGTAGTTGGGAGGAGGACTTTAGGGGTCGGAGATAGCGGTCGTGGAAACTGATCAGTGCTCGTTCGAACTTTACTTGCGAGGCTGCATCCTTTGCCTGCTCCTGGAAGTTGGAGTCACTAATGGCCCAGATCAAACTTTCTAGCTCGACGTATGACCGGAACCCCATCAGGCCCGGGGGTGATGGGTTAGTGGGTATCCCTGATTGCTGTTGCTGTTCAATCTGACATCGCACCGCGCTGGCCCAGGCTTCCGCAGTCGGGGCCATCCATAGATTGTCCTCAGATACGACGTCCAACGGTGAACGTCGTACAAGAGGATCAGTGAGCAATAGCTCGGAGAGCTCGGCATCTAGGATGAAGACGGCGGCCCAGAGCCTGTAGCAATTAGATACATTACTTGCTATACTGTCGAGGGAGGAACTCACCTGATCTGCTCTTCGGCTTGGGACCAGGCTCGCCATGTTTGCTCCGGGGCGCGATATACATCTTCGATGTTGATCTGGTCGATGGCGCGACGACTAGAGAGTAAGTTCTGTCTTTTCGCCCACTGATGATGTCAGCTGCATCGTTCGTGAACTATAACTACTATCCGTGTGGATAGGCTTACGGTGATGACTGTGCCATGAAACGTCTGTACAGTTAACAGATCTTTTGGTCTCTGCAAAATACCAGTTAGATGATGAACTAAGCAGATGATTGGCACTCTTACCCCCGTAAACATGCCGAAGATCTGCCCAATAAGAGCTGCTTGTACCATGGACAGGGCTTCAGCTTTTCCTTTGATCATATATGTTTCCCACTTCTCCAGTCAGCGAGATGCTGCGCCAAACGTTGGGGGTAGTATCGAACCGAAGAGAGTATAGCTTTGTGGAGCGTTTCAAAAATTTTGATTCCCCGTTGGGTAGCATGACTCGAACCCAAGAAGAGACTGCCCATAGAGCAGATCGAGAGCAGCAACAGGGACCGTTTTACCGAAGGACGAAACGTCTGCTGATGAATGATGGGAAGTACGTTTGTGAAACGAGCAAAGAAGAGTCGAATACACATATTCTGATAGGTCAGTATGGTATTAACAATGCTAAACATTGTTCGATGCTCACCAGAAAGTCTGTTGACGGCAATGGCTCTGTCGTGATGCGCTGCTGAAGGCGTTGGGCGAGATTCTCTCGATCAGCGTCATCAATGTGGGCCCGATCCGGGTTACCCCCAGGGGTGTCGTAGCCAGTCCCACTGCCCTCCAGGAAGGTATACCAGTGCCGTCGAACGATATCTTCCGGTTGCTCAGGGACCGGTTCGACGACACCTGCCGACAGCGGGGTTAATAGCGGGGCCTCCAAGAATGAGGGAGGTGGCTCGACGTTGGATTGCATAGTGGACGTGATGATCGCGGCATTGAATGCCCCCAGGTCGAAATTATCATCGGCTAACCATGCTGAAGATTGCGCGGTCCAGCCTACTGACCAGTCCGACAGACAGCCAGGCTGCATCTCCGCCCAGTCAGATTGGCCCGTGGCTGGATCCACGGGTAGAGACGGATCGGGAGGCACTGGGCTGGTATAATTTGCCGTGGCTGTAGAACCGGCGGACGGTGAGCCCAGTCCATAATCTGTTGGATTGCTTGCATGTGCAAAGGAAGCTCCTGTTGACCCTGTCGCCGGGACGGGAGCCTCAGCCCTTTCATTTCCTACAGAGTCCGCAGTAGTAGAAGATTTCTGGGGCCCTGCTTGCCGCGTGGTTCCATGGGACCGCGCATGGCGAAGGAGGGAATCACTGACATCGTTAGGAGCTCTGCATTGGAGTAGAACTAGATTCAACAAGGCTCAACGCACTAGCGAGTAAAGGACTTTGTGCACACCGTACATGAGAATGGCCTTTCTCGGGTATGACGTCTGATATGTCGAGCCAAGTGATCCTCCTTGGTGAAGGACTGAGAGCACCACGGGCAAATACGTTCCGGCCTGCTATTCGGATGGGCCGGCATGACTGAACTCCGCAGGGGATGAGAGCAGATTAAATACGTCTGCAGAATAGATGCTTCTGCTGATGCGGCGAGATATACAGGAGGGATGACACGCATCTGAGTCGATGAGGAGTCAAAGAAACAGGTGAATAGACCCTGCAGAACCGTGATTCTTGGTGTTCGACGTGTTCATCAATTAGAGTTCACCCCCGCTTTCCTCGTTCACAGCCAACCATGATTGGCTGAACGAGGTGGCAAACCCTGTCACTGTTATTGGGCGCCTGTCAAACGTGCAATAGTTTCGGACTAACGTGAGAGCGTCTGAAGCCGACGGCCGATGCATATATCCTAGCTTCAGTATTGCTCCATAATGATGAAAATTCGACAGGCAGGAATTCCGGGGCTTACGAAACTCATATTTTTCTGTTGTGTGGACTGTGGAGACCCCGGACGTCCCGCAAGGTCCCGCAGGAAGCTTCTCCAGACATTCGGATATACGTATTATGGAATTCCAATTGGATCCCACTGCATGGCTTTGCGGGGAGCAAGTCGGATACGGGGTACCCCCAGGCATGATCTACGGCCCGTGATTTTTACCGAGTTATTCGCCAAGTATTGAGACATAAAACGATCATTGCACTTATTATCTCTCAGTTCTTCCTTTAGCATCTGTGTCGCACACGAAAACAACCAATATGGACAGCAAAGATTGGGAGACAACCGACATCCTCATCTGCGGATGTGGCCCAACGGGGGCGATGTTGTCAGCCCTCCTGGGCCAAATGAACATTCTCAACGTGGTGTTGGAACGGGAAGCCAACATCACAACCGATCCCCGTGGAATTGCTCTGGATGAGGATGGCATACGGGCGTTGCAGGGGTTGGGCTTGTACCGAAGCATATTTACAGAAATTGGAACCTGTAAGATATCCTCCCAAGGTCTCTATAACCGCCAAGAGGAAAGAGGTTTAACCAGCTCTAGGTATGGGAAAATTCAATTTCATCAGCGGCACAGGTGCGAACTTGTCAAAGGAGGCGTTCCTTGCCATGGACTATGCCACCGTACGACCCTTCTTTTGTGCCTTTGTGGTTTGACGATCACTGACTTGGTCAAAACAGACTGCTGGCGGAACTGGCCATGTCGGATATATCTGTCACAAGCAACCAGCACTGGAGAGGAAGCTCAGAGATATTATGGGGACTCATGCATCTTGCTCTCTACGATCTGGATCAACCGTCATTGATCTCGAAGAAGACGACAGCTGGACTTATTGCACATACAGAGATGCGCAAGGGACGGAGCGTAAGATTCGTGCGCGCTTCTTTGTCGGTTCCGATGGAAAAACTGGCTACACGCGGAAGCAATACCTAGAGAAGAAGGGGGTTTTTCTGGAGAGGGTGACGGAGTGAGTAATGCCTCGCTGTGGACACTTTTAAGCAACATACTAACTCCACCCAGCGTGTTATATGATGAGACATGGGTAGCCCTGAACTGGGAAATTACCCTGCCCACCCCACAGACTCATCCCGCATTCCCTCTTTGGAAGCTCGGATATACCCCCGAGCAAGTATACGATGCATTTTTCCCTTCCGGCTTCCGCTTCCTATGCAACCCAAATCGCCCGGCGGTTTGCGGCCGGTTTGGACTTCCTAGTGACCGGCTCTGGAGATTCGAGTTCTTCGTCCGACCCGACGAAGATGGACATCAGTTGGCCTCGCGTGAGATGTTGCAAAAAATAGTGTTTCCGTACATCACCCATGACGGCAGCCGATACTGGTGAGAGACTGTATTCCTCTGAGCTTGGCAAGATTGCTTACTCTTTAGTCTACCTGGTGATGTGCAGTTCCCGGAAGACTGTATCAAGACTCTCCGGTCACGGCCCTTTGCTTTCTCTGCCCGCAGCTGCAATGTCTGGGCGAAGGACCGGGTCATCTTATGCGGTGACTCCGCCCATGTCTTTCCACCCTGTAAGCACACCTCATATCCGCCCTTGTCATTCCTTTCTTTCTCATGATCACAGTTGGCGGTCAAGGTATTGCTTCGGGATTCCGCGACGCTCTGTCATTAGGGTGGCGGCTTGCCATGCTATGTCGACACCATCCCTCCAATACTCAGGTCCACCATACCGTGCTGAGGTCGTGGTATCTCGAGCGCAAGCAACAGTTGGAGCAATCTCTGGCGGCGACCATTGAGAATGGCAAGTTCGTCACCGAGAGCCAACCGCTCAAAGCTTCCGCACGAGACTGGTACTTCTGGTTGATTCAGTTCGTCCCCAGTTGGAGGCGGCAGCTTGAACTGGGCAGGCGCCGCAACGGCATGGTCCGCTACCGATACCTGGATGGCATGCCTTTTATTCCTGAACTTAACGGAGGCGTCAATCTTCCTCAGGTTTATGGCAAGACGTCAAACGGAGAGATTGTGTTCACCGACGACATAATCTTTCGCTCCCAGCGAGAAGGCATTTTCCAGATGTTCGTATACCTGCGCAATGATGAGAAGCTCTCGGGGGTGCGAAAAGTGTTGCAGGAGGTTGAGCAACTCTCTAAAGGTACCATAATGGCCAATAACGTCCCCATCATGGTCGAGGAGTCAGTCGCGGATGTTCAAGATCCGAATGTCATCGCGTTAGCCACAGGGGATGAGTTTGCAAGCTCTCCTCTTTGCAACCGACGACCAGAGCCCATGCTCTATGATCGGTTTGCTCTTCGCAAGGAGGTCCGTGGAAGATATTGCATCGTCCGACCCGATCGATTCATCTTCGCTGCCTGCAATGATATCAAAGCACTGCATGGAGCGATCCGCAGCATGCTAGGTTACTTGCAGCAGACGGACCTGCAATCATGATTTCTATTCCGCAGTGGCATTATAATAGCTCAAAGCCTGTTCGCAAATGTTCGCAATGTGATGTATATAGCTATCTCTTAGCAATGAAGAATCCAGTATTGTAATTACCGCTATCTTTACTATCAAAGCTTGCTGTATGTTGATTACCTTCCACAGCTACCCTAGAACAAGACCACCTATGCCAGCGAAAGGATACCAGGTATAGGCATGAATTATGTTTTGGGATATCATGTCAATGCAACAACCATCCACACACAAATATGCAATAGAGTTCTTACAATGATGTTCCGAGTATTTGCCAGATCAGGTATGGCCTGCGGGACCTGATCCTGCGGGACATTTCAGCGCCACCGGAGGTTAGCAGCGATATGCAACGGCATTAATTGGAATAAGTGGGCTGGCGGGACTCGAATTATGAACTCGCATCAGACATAAATGCTACGCAGCGACGTCGCTTAGGCCCATACATGACCATACTCATTGAATACCTCAGGAGCCCGGAGACCTTTACTTCCTGGCTCGTTGAAAGTACACGCATCTCTTCATACCTATCAAGACAAACAGATAGCAATGGCGTCCTGCCATGGAGCATCTCTCCCGGACATTATGGCCATTGGCCCCGATCGTGAATCCATTGTCACCTGGAAACAAAGGTGCGGGATCCAGAGGGAGAAGCAGATCCGCTTGGTGAGGCTGGTGCATATGCGGTATCAACATCCAGATTTGGAAGAGATTACGACGTTTCTGCAGGGTAGGTATGCCAGTATACACATGACTAGAGGATTTACTGACGACTGCAATAGATTTCGGCATGTTCGTTGCCAAACAAACAAAAGACCAGATCTGGTATCGGGGTTATGGGGTGGATCAGTACGTTTACTACGCCAGAAAGGGAGAGAAGAAGTTCTTGGGGGGAACATATGAGGTTGAATCGTACGCAGCCTTGGAAAGGTGAGTGGATTTATACATTCTTTGAGTATCTCATATTGACTGATCTGGAAGAGCGTCTCAACTCCCAACCGGATCCGCCATCCACGAATTGATCGATGCACCTGGCGGAGGTCATATGGTCACCGTCATTGATCCGGAAGGCTTCCCTGTGAATTTGATGTACGGCCAACAGCCTGCGACCCCAGGGGTGTATCCGGAAAACTTGATCTTCAACACCGAGACAGAGAAACCACGCATGCGCAGATTCCAACGATTTGTTGAGGGGCCGGCGCCTGTTCATAAGGTAAGGACACGATTCTGCTCCAAGCTACATGAGAAGCTGTACTAACAATCTGCCTACAGCTGGGTCATTACGGCCTCTGTGTGAAGGACTTCCCTGCAATGGTCGCTTTCTACACCACAACGTTCAATTTGGTCCCTACTGATTTCCTGCATGTCGGGGAGGGAGAGGACAAGACCAATGTCGCGCTCTTTGCGCACATTGATCGGGGAACGGACTATGTGGATCACCACACCTTTTTCATGAGTGCCAATAGCGCTTCCCACGTCCATCACTGTTCGTTTGAAGTGCACGACTTCGACACCCAGAAGCTGGGGCATCAGTGGCTCGCAAAGAGGGGGTACACCTCTGTGTGGGGAGTGGGAAGGCATATCTTAGGCTCGCAGATTTTTGACTATTGGTGGGATACCACAGGAAACATGATCGAACATTATGCCGATGGTGATATTGTTAATGAGGACACGCCGATTGGGTATGGACAAGCGGGGGATGCCTCCCTAGCCATCTGGGGGCCGGATGTGCCTGCGTGGTTTCTTGAGTAGCCCTCTGGACACGAACTAGAGATTCTGGAATTGTCTGTTAAGGCTAAAGATAAGGAAATATTATGTGGTTCTGCATATGTTATTGAATACGTAAATCCAACGATGAAGTGTTCTTACCCACATAACAAAAAGGTCAGATAATGAGTTCACCTCAGTGAAGAGTACCAGACAATATCTCAATAAGTGAATAGTGATTAAAGTCAAAATTGAAGTCCAGACATTCTATCGATCTCTGACCGTTGGTTTTCTTTCAAGATTCTTCTTCTCTTTTGAGTGCATGTGTGTGTATATATACAACAGAGACACTCTACAACAATATCTTATCGAGCTGAGTATACCTGATCAAAATCATAGGACAGAACAATCATATTTGACTATATACATCATGTCTTCATGTACTATTCTCTATGATATTTGCGTTCCCATCCCTCCCAGACTAATAATCTATTCATAGCGTACCTTATTAGTCAAAGTACCAATCTTATCAATCGTCACCGAAAACTCATCCCCATCCTCCAAAACATGTCTCGGCTTCTTGAAGTACCCAATTCCCGCCGGTGTGCCAGTGAGGAAGATCGTCCCCGCTTCCAACGTAGTCCCTTGGGAGAGGTACGAAATCTGCTTCTTAATGGAGAAGATCATATCTTTAGTATGTCCATCCTGGACAACAACCCCGTTATGTATACCCTGAATGCGAAGAGTCTGAGGATCGGTAATCACTGATGGTGAGACCAGAACAGGACCTGTATATAGAATCTCCGCATTAGTCTTCTTCTGATCTTGCACTTTCCCTCTGAAACAGATCACATACCAATCGGACAACTTCCATCCAAACCCTTTGAAAACGACCACTGAGCAGTAGCCAACTGCAACGTCCGAGCAGATACATCATTCGAAGCCGTATATCCCAGAACATAATCCAAGGCTTTCTCTTCGGGGATATCCCGTCCCGTACGACCAATCACCACACACAACTCGGATTCATAGTCGCTGGTGCCATCCTGGGCACATTTGGGGACATTGATCGCGGCAGGATACGGGCCGATGAGGGCCGAACGTGGCTTAGTGAAGAGGATAGGAACCGTCGGAAGGGCGAGGTTGGCTTCCTTGGCGTGGTCGAGGTAGTTCAGTCCGAGGCAGCGAATGTAATTGCATTGTTCGGTGCTCACGGGAGCGAGGATCTAGCATCACTTTGTGAGTATTTTGAGAATAGTAGATGGAAGAGGCGTAGGGAATGAATCACCTGCTTCACATGCATGAGCTGATCCGTAACACGGCCATCGAAGATTGTCCCCTGGATGAGGTACACAGGGATATCCACCCCGTTGACGCTGTCTTTGCCCACATCCTGGTCGGTGTTGACCAATTGGCCAAGATGGATGTGGTTGTCTTCGACGGCGACAAATCGGATAAGGTGTGTCCAGGAGGCCATTTTGAGGTGGTTTCTAGCTAGGTGAGGTAATGAATGGTGGAAACAGGGCATGGGCTTTTTTAAATTCTCCAACAAAACGCTCGATAAAGTTGGGGTTGCGGGACCGGTATGTAGATCTGCGGGACGTGGCGATGCAGTGTGTTGCCGTCACTGTTGCCGCCGAAGTTAATAAACGACGGGGTCTAGAAGTTGCAGGATTTCAATGTGCAAATCATATTCGATGAAACCTTCCCTTCAGAGATGGATTTACGGAGGTTGGGGAACAGGAATCCGTCATCTCAAGTCTTTCCAGGGACCTGGAGTGCGGCGGGCATCGTCCCGCAGCCCACGTCCCGCAGACCTCACCTCACTTGGCTCTCATTCGTGCGATCCGGCTTTCCAAAGGGTCTACTTCTCTGGGACAGGTCTAACGTAATCACATTACGCAACGTGTATGGTAGATTCCCTGCGATGCCAAACAATTGTATAGATACAGAGTTTGTTATAGTAATGAAGCAGTTCGCCTTCTTTTGCCGAAATAATTACTACAAGGGAGACGTACCGGTAGCGGAACCCTATTGCATGCTGTTTGATATTAGAGGGGATTTAAGAAGCCTGCTTCAGAACTAGGTTTCCCGTTTCCTCATGTCTCTGGGATAACACTCTATATATTGTGCCACCATTTGGCCAGATATATTCGCCTAACGAACCCGCGCGTCGCAATGAACAAAGAACGTGGAGCCAAAGATCGCAATCGATCCAGAGTCTCCCAAGCGTGCAGGAGGTGCCGGGCAAAGAGGGCGAGTGATCATTTACTTGAAAGCATTGACTCAATCTGAGCAACTCGAAGAATCGGGGTGTCTAACGGAGTCAATTGAGACCGGCACCTGCTGATTCCTCGTCAAGCGCTTTAAAGCACCATGCTAATTGATCCATGTTGCAGAATAAATGTGACGGTTCGCGTCCCGCATGCTCAGCATGTCTTACCTCAGGCCACGATTGTGCCTACGATGTGCGGCTACGAAAGCGTGGTCTACGCGAGGGCTATGTTCGGAGTCTTGAGAAGATGCTAGCACTGGCGATTCGAGAGTTAAACGGATTCGAGGACGACGCTCTCGCACTCATAGGAGTCATGCCGGAATCAGTAGCCCTCCAGAATCAGTTCAGTGCTCCTTGGACAGACGCTGAGTCGTCAAATAAGCTGTATCAATCATGGAAAGCGAGTCGACTTCACAGAGCGTTAGAAGGAACCCTCTCTTATCCGGAAACTGTTCCACCACCTGGCACTTTCGCACACGGTAAACCGCAAATTGACGAGGTGATGGTCAGCTCAATGAATCAGAGTCAAGATTACATGGAAGTCGACCAAGGTCTATCATTTGATAGCGTTAGGATGGAACAGCCTGATGCCTTAAGTGAACTGCCGTATGCGGCTACACGTACAAACTCCCAGTCAGGCAATACGTCCTCTCCCTGCCTACCTCCACTGCCACCGAATGCTACGCGACTTCTTCAAACTTACTATGCCACCACGCATTCATGGTTTCCGATCATTCCTAAGGATGAGATCACTCGCACATTACATCTCTACTCCGAACAAGCATACTTTCAAGCAGGACGCAGCACTTCCTGTGCTTATGAATCCACGTTATGGGCGATCCTGAGTCATTCTACCTGTGCTGCAAGTGTCCGACAGCCGGGTGAATCTTCACAACTTCTTTCCGAGGCAAAACGCTACTACTTTATCAGTCGACGCCTCATACCCAACCGGACAGAGCACTGTGGACTAGGACATCTGGAAGCTATCCTCTTGCTCGTATTGGTCAATATCGAGGTTGAACAGTGGCTCGCAGCCTGGCTTCTCATTGGCAGAGCGGTCAAAACAGTAATGTCTTTGGGGCTTGATGAACCCTACGACAGCCAGTGGTCGGTGATGATCCAAGAGGGAAGGACCGTCGCTTTTGGGTGTTTTGTTATTGACTCCTTCCTCGCCTTTTGGAGGCGAGAACCTCCGCATATGCCTGCAGAGTATCTTGATGGCGTCGCGCTAAGAGAGGAGGACGAGTGGACGTCGTGGCCAGCCCTAGTGCTTCCGTACCAGAAAGTGGTCTCGACAAATAGCCCGCCATCAGCGCCGTTACATAGCTTCAGCTGCTTCCAAAAGCTTGTGGAGCTCGCACGCATGGCAAATAGAATGGCTGGGGGCGTGGGACACAGTAGTCTTTCCCTCCAAACCTTCGTTTATGAACTGAGTCAGTGGGAGAGTCAGATTCCCCGAGAGTGCCGCCTCATCGGTCCTGATAGCATATACCCAGAACGACACCCCGATGTGCTTTCACATCAGATCTACTTGACTTTAGGATATATTGCGATACTGTTGTCTCTATATGTGGAGATTACCATCCAAGAGTTGAGCGTTACTCAGGTCGGGGTGCAGGCCCGGGAGAGAGCAAAGAAGCTACTCTGCAGAGTAACTCACGTTTTTTCACATCATGCGAGTCAGTTCTGCGTATGTGAACTTTCAACAATATCCATGATATCTCTGAAGATTATTCTTGATAGGGCACGACTGCTCCATGAGACGCAACCGGGGACCTTTCCCTACCAGAAATGGATGGAAAGTCTTCGTTGCACGTGCACCAGTCCTTGCCCGGCATCGCCTCGGTTCTGTTCCCTGAAGGCGGATTTATCGCGTTTGTGTGGTTCTTCTAAGATGACAGGAGAGAATTCAACAAGTGTAACACCAGAGGCAGGCAACATCTGGCTTTAGTGTCTCTGCAGCACAGCAACTGTTTGTACCGAATCTATCCACACTTCTGACGCTAAGAGACTGAGGTTGGCGAGAAATATGCAAGAAATAATATCTGGACATAACGTGTGCCCATTTGGCAGGCGTTATAAGATTGTGTATGATTTTATAGACTTTGTTATCTGAAGGAGAAGAAGGAGAAGATATTGATTGTGATTGTATAGATCTAGAATTATATACTAGCTTAAAATGGAAAGGAAGCAATCATGTAGAGGAAAGCAACTGTGATGAACTGGGGAGGATCAGATTATTGTGACTAGGAAAATACTACACATGTTGTGCATCCTGACGTTATTCATTACAAAGTGACTATCGCCCTTTATATCGGACCCTCTTGTTCCTCGGCCATAAATCCTATTGATGTAAGAGATGCTAGTTCAAGGCCACTCGGTCCAGGTGAGGGTCACGGTTCAAAGTTATTAGGAAACGTATTTCCCACCCCCGGTACGGAAGTTGCCCAATTCTTCATTTCATCCAATAGAGATATCAAAAAAAAAAATCTTGGAACTCTAAACATCCCCATATAGAGCACTAGTACAACGTAGGCCAGGTAAAGAACCCTTCCATATTCACAATAGACGGATTGAGATTCCACCCTGGCTCCCAGGTACTCAATTCGTCCACAAATGCTAGGTCGAGAGGTGGTGCTATACCCGCTGATTGAGAGGTTGCCAATGTAGTCACAGAATCAGGCAGCTGAGCCGATGTTGAGACTGACAGATCAGGTTTCTGGGGATTCCCCTGATCGGAACAGACTCCTTGGTCTTTTTCCATACCAGGGGATCCTGTCGACTCTGACACAGAAGCATAATTCGCAGCCCCCTCTGCAGGTGCACAGACCTTCTCGTGATTTGTTGTGGCTTCCAAGCCCAGTTTATCCAAGGCCAGTTCAATCGCTCGTATGGTACTTGCTATCGGCTCGCCTTCTCGCATACTATAAAGGCATCGGAGCCCCATTTTGATGCGTGGAAGATGAAGGGAAGCCAGAGTCGTATCGTGCAGCATATCGTAGATGAGCGCAAAGATCGCACTCCCGAGGAAGAAGCCGTGGTATCGGAGTTCCTAAATACATGGTCAGTCATTGTTTCTCGAGAAGGGTCTTAGTTGGTTGTACCTTCGCGGTCGGAATTTGATGAGAGGTTCTCGCAATATGATCAATCAAGGCAAAGGCAGCGTTGACGGCGGAGCTACAGGTTGCATCCAACCACACAGGAGTTCCTGGTTTGTCCACATGGTGATTGGACTGTGTTCCCCGGCATAGTGCTTTTGTCTTTTGCCGCCATCGCCCTCGAAGAATCAGAAAAGGTCGATAGGTTAAGAGAACAGTGTGATTATATACTTTAACTGGCATTAGTCTTTGTTTTGTCTGGCTGTCGGGAATACCATCAGGCCATAAAGCAAACAGTACCTACAAGAGCTAAGCATAATCTGGCACACCCCCTGCCCCTGGTCGGATGTGGCAGTGCGGAGCCCAAACCCCATACAGCGCTGCATGATAGATTCGAATTGCCGCAAATCAGAGAGAATCGCAGCTGCCGTCTTCTCCATTGCAAGGAACGAGCCATGTGGCCTTTCGTACATGTCTTCGACTGTTCGCGACATGATCTGGGATAGGTGAACCAAGCATGTCAGAAAGGGATCGACTGGGAGCGGGATCTCGATCTTTGCTCGTGGGAGGCTGCTGGGTCGTCCCAAGAAGAAAGCCATTAGCCTATGGATAGAGAACAGTTAGCTTCAGGGTTCTGAATTTAGGCCGTAAGGTTTGTTTCACGTTTCACAGATGTAAAGGCACCAGACTGTCCGTTGGATAACTTCACGACAGTCCCCGTGTGCAGCCGCGGGTTTATGGAAACCTGCAGAGACGGCCTTCCTCACGGCTGTTCCAATCTCGAGATATGCAGAGTTGGGTCTGCCTCGTTCATTCTGAAAATACGCGTGCTCTCAACTTGGTTAGTCTCTCCCGGTGAAAGGTGCGACGGGAAAACTCATCAGGATAATAGAAGTCTGCACGGTCTCGATATTAACGATATCTGCCAAAGCAGCCGTCTCATTTTTGATTTTGGAAACTAGGGCGTCCGCCAGCGGATAGTGCTCAGTGTTCAGAGCCGCTATGGCGATAGCAGCAAGGACAATATGCTTTCCAGCCGGGTTCCGTGGCGTGTGCAATGTGGTTATGTACAGATCATCCAATTGCTGTTCAAAGAGCGCCCGCGGCTGGAAAGGCACCAGATGGTAGAGGGTTCCCAGGAAACAATCCAGTAGTTGCTTTGCCAATGAATATGATATAAATCCTCCGGAGAGACCGGCCAGTCCCGCTTGACTCGAAGGGTCTCGTCCATTGTCAGGAATGCCAAAGAAGATGGAACGGAACTGGAACATGTCCAGACCAGCGCCACCATCTTCGACTTCACTAGTCTGCGATCGTGGTGCCCCTGTGTAACCCGGAATGATGTCGCGGTATATTGTTTGCATCAAGGCAAAGTTGGAAGTGGCACCGTAGTATAACTCCATTGAAAGACTCGGCGATGCTTGATGTGTGGCAGTGACGCTGCTGGGAGATGGAACGGTGGGTCGATTCACGTGCTGCCGGAAAGAAGAAACGGGGGTCATGTTCATGACTCTGGAAGGGCTTGATATCGTATCACGGCTAACTGCGGAGGTTGGTTGGACTCCAGAAGAGCTTTTTTCCCTGCGCTGGCGAGCTTTATCACGATACTCGCAGCGAAGATGCCGTTCAGAGCATTTCGCACAAGGCGTCAGTCCATCGCACCGAATCTTGCGCATTCGACATTGCTGACACGCTTTGGAGATTCTCCAGTAGGAAGCTCCACTGCCTTTGAATAACATGGTAGTTCGGGAGATGCCCCTGGAGTACCTTCTCGCAGGACGGTGTCTTGTTTCACCAGACTTGGTGTGTGCCAGTGATGTATTCTGATACATGCAGCTGTATCAGCAGGCTGGGAGGATTATTAGATTATATCAATGATAACGTAAAATGGCCCATACATGGACTATCACGGTTCCTCTGTACAAAACACCGGCTGTAGTGGCGACCCCACAGGGATGCAAAGGGCGGCGGATATACGAAAAAATTCTCTCGCACTCTCCGTTCCTATTGATCAGATTTCTTGCCACGGCTGAGAACGGATTCAAGGCTTACTCCTGAACCTTCTAGTAAAGCAGGTCTAGCCCCCATGCCAGAGGCGCTCAAATGTGGTAGACGAGTGAATAGACTATACTCCTTCTAGAACTGAACGATGAACATAACTACGACTATCTTCGCAGGATTTTCGTGCAGAATCTGTTCCTGATTCGTTCTAGTCACCTGCGGCCTTGAGTGGACAGTGGCCAAATACCAGGGGCAACTTTCTTGATCATGATGACTGTTCAATACTAGACACTTCGGAACATTGAGCAGAGACCGTTCTGTCAGCAGTTGTCAAGTAGGCAGTAAGATTTATCGGACAAGACTTTTTTATTAGTTTTATCAGGGTATCACTCTCATAGAGCGCGATCAGAGGTCAAACTTCCGAAATTCCATAACGCCTCTAATCACACCCTCATTTGGATCCGCTAGCAGACTCTCAAGAAAGAGCGGAGTTATTTGTATCGCTTCATAAAATAATGTAACCCTTAACACCAAATACCAGCGCAGCCAATTACCACTATAATCCCTGAGCGAGCATATAAGCCGCTGGGGTATGAATTCACTTCGAATCTGACAAAAAAGAAAAAACCGTTCAAAACCTAAAATGCAGTGCCGAGAGGCTCGTACAGCGCAGAATTTGGGGCATTCAGGGCGATCCGGTACATCGCCCACGGCGAGAGAATATTGCCGTCTGCTGTTGTAGAGACGTCTTCTGACACGATTTGCAGCCCATCTGCCTCAGTCTTTTGCTGGTCAAGAGCCCCGCTGTACGTTGTGTTACCTTCCGCAATCATACATGAAGATGGGTTCATTTGAAATGGAGGCCCGACGTCTGGCGTGATGACAGAGCTCATGTATGTCGGGCAATCAGGCAGTGATGAGATGCTAGGCGAGAAGCTGAAAGACGATGGCGAGTACAGGAAATCCGAAAATACACTGCCGGTATCCCCGTACCATTGGTTAGGGCACGATTGTACGTCGGTGTTCGGTTGGATTGTGTCTGGGTATCGATCTTTCCTCTCGTCTTCCTTTTCGGTGCACTCCTCCCGTAGCTGCAGGGGGGTGGGAGGTGTTTTGGGTGAATCCTCGGTTGGCGCATCATATATGCCCAGATTGTATAATATGTCATTCACGGATAATGGTCGATCGCTAGCTATCCGTTTGATGCTTCCTCCTGTGACCGTTCGTTGGTAAAGCTCTCGCAGGCCACGGACGAGCAGATCGCGTTGGTCTTCGATGAGTTGCACATAACTAGAAGATTTAGTTCATGCTGGCGTATGTAAATATAAACGTCATTCGTGGCATACCTCTGTGTGAACACCCGATGCCTCTTTGGTTTACCCTCTCGATAGGTACAAACGGCGTTTGTGGCTTTGCAGGACTCGCATGGAGCGTCTCCACTGCACTAAAAGCATGTTAGCTATATACTAGATATCTAACCGGGGATATGCGATGCTCCTACTCTTGATTTCTTTACTTTGCATCGTTGACACGCCTTTGTCACTCGTTTGCGGGAGCAACGTGCAGATATGTCGTGCGAGACCATTGTCTTGGATCGTGATATCCTTTGGAACGTGGTTTAGAAAACAAAGTTACTTGCGAAGGGGAAGACTGTGGAATGATCTTGATTAATTTAAAGCTAGATCCAATACTACCCCTAAACGCTACAAACTAGTTGGCAACATGCAACTTATGACTTAACTCCCCGAAAGTTTCGTGTCGATCTTGATCTACGGGATTTCGGCTCCCAAGGTTCATACAATATGACCTACATAGGGTTCTACCGAATAATCTACATGGGTTCCTTATGGTGAACGCCCTGCGAAAGTAAGATCCACTCCACAGTCCTGTAGGGGCTGATGTGACTAGGCCACAAATGCTCAATGACAAGATATCCAGAGGTCCCACCAAGTGGCTTGGCAGGCGTAGCAATGTCCATCTATAACGGTATTGGGCGATTCCTTGACGATCCGTGGCAATATCTTCTAGCTGTGACTGGGTTGCGGGACATCCGAACCCGTACTTGCGTCTATCCGGCGGGACGTCGTATCCCATCTTTGGTTTGACTTTCCGACCAGCTCAGAGCCAAAAACATATTGTCGTGATAATTCATTTCATCTTGATCAAAGTTTTCATGGTTGCTTTCCGGTATTTGCCTCGTAGAATGCTGTGATCTCAATGGTCTCATGCCTTAACTGATGTATTGACGTGTAGAAAAGTGTATCGACCCACGTTTAAGCCCCTTGACCTATCGATAGGTTTTAGATACTCGAGGATGTTGGCATCGGATGGGAGAACCGAACCCGAATCAACCTTACAAGATTAATCTAGATCTACAGAGTGGCTGGATGAAGCCGGAAGTTTTGCCACTGGGGCTCCCTTGCCCCAAAGCACATCTCGTAGGGTCACTAGTCTATTCCATGTAGCCAAAGTAGGCCACAGCCTTGCCGTGCTGAAAACTAGTGCTGACTCCAAGATCAACAACTGCAATCTTACGGCTTCCAGAATGGCTATGCTCTGGTGCGTGTTCGCCCGCCATGATAAAGAGCCGATCTGCACCTCCATCGGATCACCACGGGTCATGTATGTCTGCCCGTTATGCCAGAGTGTCAGGCTATTGCACCAAGAGTTGCCCCTATTGGATGCTAGTTGTGGAAGGTGAGTGTAGAAGGTATGTATGGTGAGGAATAGGCAACCGCGGAATGACTGTCTGAGTATCGGAAAACAAATCCACATTACCCAGAAAACGATCTCACAAAAGGTGGTATCATAGTACCACATGCCCTCTTGCCACTAATCTCCTCCTCCCGGTAGCCTACCGTATCTGCCTCATGCAGAAGTAGGGGAGATTGAAACGGATGGTGGCAGCTGGGCTGGAACATAATTTAAGTTCTATAATTGACCCACCCACGACGCCTTGAGGATGCTAGGAAATTAGCCGCCGCTAATCTGCCTATGACTTCGACGACTATACGAATTTCTGATGTACGGATAACTTCATGCGGGACCGAAATGTACTCGACATTTCTAAGTTTTTCTAGATCGACCGCGGAAGAACGGATAATGGAAACTCGGAAGAGACGATCCTGCAATAGACAGACCGTAGCATATGTAGCGTGTTTCGAAGACCAGTATATAGTCGAGGCCCTGGCCGGCTGAGAGATATCAATCCTAGTTCATGTTCATCTCGAATGGTCAGTCAATCGCTTGTCAGCAATACAGCGAGCATGTCTGAGGATTCGTATCCAAAAGAGGAGCATTTCCCAGCCATCCCCGGCTCTGACGGTTCAACAACTCCGACCGGGTATGTGGAGGCTTCCAAAGAGAGCCATGTGCCACCATTAGGAACACACAAAGAGGTCACTGTGACATGGCGACAGCTATCAGTCCTCGTGCCAGCTTCGGAGGCCGTCCATGGCGATACCCTCTGGTCTGAGGTCGACCCTCGGGAGTTGGTCCGGAAGTTCCAGAAGCCAAAGGAAATGGTATTTTCGTCACCTTGACTCTGACAGATGAAATCACTAAACGTCTCTAGGCCATCCTTCAAGATATGAATGGACAGCTTCGCCCAGGAGAAATGGTCTGTATTCCATTCAATTGAGAGTATCATAAACATTGCACTGACCAAGATAGATGCTTGTACTCGGACGGCCAGGTGCAGGCTGTACATCGTTCCTCAAAGTAATATCCAACGACCGAGATGGCTTTGATCACATCAGTGGCGACGTGCATTATGGAAGTATGGATCACAAGGAGGCTGCAAAGTTCCGTCAGCAGTTCATGTTCAACAACGAAGGTTCGCTTCCCCTTATCCAGAAACTACTGAGGAAGAAACTGATTGAGTGTTCATGAACGTCGACTAGATGATGTCCATTTCCCCACCCTGACGGTTGATCAAACGATCAAATTCGCGCTCCGTAACAAGACGCCTTCGATCAAATCCGGCAATTTGTCCGACAAAGGCTTCGTGGAGAGTATGCGGGATGAGATCTTGGGATCGTTGGGAATCCTCCATACAGGCAAAACATTGGTGGGAAATGAATTTGTTCGGGGAGTGTCAGGCGGAGAGCGAAAGCGTGTCTCCCTCGCCGAAGTGATGGCTGGCCAGGTATGTCCATCGCATGCCTGGAGATTCTAGCATCTGGAGAGATCTGACAATTAACACTTCTATAGAGCCCAGTGCAATGCTGGGACCAGTCTACTCGTGGTCTTGACGCCAGCTCCGCGCTGGATTTCGCCAAACACCTCCGCCGCACGGCGGACGAGCAGAGGAAGACGGTCTTTGCCACCCTCTACCAGGCAGGAAATGCCATCTACGACCAGTTCGATAAGGTCATGGTGATTGCAGGCGGATATGTCATCTTCTATGGGCCTCGCCACCTCGCGCGACACTACTTTGAAGAAATGGGGTTCGTGTGTCGTCGTGGAGCCAACATTGCCGATTTCCTCACGGCCGTCACGGTGCCCACGGAGCGAACCGTTCGCGCCGGTTACGAAGAAAAGATACCCAAGTCAGTGGTGGAGTTTGCAGCCCGTTACAAGGAGAGTTCCGTCTACCAAGCAATGGTAGAGGAGATCATACCCCCCTCTCAGCTTCAAGAAGAGAGCCGCTGCTTCAAAGACTTAGTGGCAAAAGAGCTGATGGGCAAAGAGGGCAATCCCAAGAGCGTTTACACGGTGCCCCTATGGGAACAGGTCATCGCTTGTACGATTCGGCAAAGTCAAATCATCTGGGGTGATCGCCTGTCTCTCGCCGTCAAGGTGGGATCGACTCTGATCCAAGCCCTGGTTTCGGGGAGTCTCTTCTACAACCTGTCGGACACCAGTCATTCCATGTTCCTGCGACCCGGTGCGCTCTTCTTCCCAATCATGTATTTCTGTATGCAGGCTCTTGGAGAGACGACTTCCTCGTTCATGGGCAGACCCATCCTGTCCCGGCAAAAGCGGTTTGCATTCTATCGTCCAACAGCCTACTGCGTTGCCAGTGTGATTACCGATATCCCCGTGGTGCTCTTCCAGGTGACCTTGTTCACCATTGTCTATTACTGGATGTGCAACTTTCAGGCTGACGCGGGCAAATTCTTCACATTCTGGATCGTCCTCAATGTCTCGACACTCTGCTTCATCTCCTTCTTCCGCATGATTGGCGCGAATTGTTCCAAGTTCGGTAACGCATCAAAGATGTCCGGCTTCTTCACTACCATCATGATGATCTATACCGGATATCTGATCCCCTTCCAGAAGATGCACGTCTGGTTCCGATGGGTCTTCTGGATCAACCCAGCCTCGTACGCCTTTGAGAGTGTAATGGGCAATGAATTCGGCGGCTTGAATATCAAGTGTGAAAGCCCAGACTATATTCCTTACGGTGCAGGTTACACTGACGACCGGTATCGGGGCTGTACAGTCGCTGGGTCTATTGGGGATCACATCCCCGGTGCCGACTACATCCATGACGAGTATTCCTACTCGATCCATCACGTCTGGAGGGGATTCGGTGTTTTGGTCGGAATGTGGGCCTTTTTCGCCTTCCTCACCGCAGTCGGCTTCGAGAGACTTCGCAGTCAAGGCACGTCGTCTTATCTGGTGTACAAACGCGGCAGTCAGGGGCATCACCGAGATGAAGAGGGTGCCTTGACAGCGCCACCGGCGGGGGCAGACTCCGAACCTGATCAGAACATGCCAAAACAAGCTATCTTTACGTGGGACCATCTCGACTATTTTGTGAACTACCAGGGATCAAAGCTCCAGCTCTTGAATCAGGTCTTTGGCTTTGTGAAACCGGGCAGCCTGGTCGCATTGATGGGATGCTCTGGTGCAGGTAAAACTACGTAAGTCAATTCTCCTCACCAGGCATGGTGACCCTTCTCCGATGCTCGACAGCTGAATTTACTGTTACTATGTTATAGACTTCTGGATGTTCTCGCTCAGCGTAAAGATTCGGGAGAGATCGCCGGCTCCATTCTGGTCAACGGCAAACCACAGAATATCAGCTTCCAGAGGACGACCGGTTACTGCGAGCAGCTTGATGTCCACGAACCAACTGCGACTGTCAAAGAGGCCTTGATCTTTTCTGCTTTGCTTCGCCAACCGGCTCACATTCCTAAGCAGGAGAAGATTGACTACGAGGACAAGATCATTGACCTGCTGGAGCTGGACGACATTAGTGATGCGCTCATCGGAAGTAAGTAGACCTGTTCAGGAAAGATGAACCCACCAGCTAACTTTAGCATCAGCTCCTGGGGCCGGTTTAAGCATTGAACAGAGAAAGAGAGTGACACTCGGCGTTGAATTGGTGGCAAAGCCTTCTTTGTTGCTCCTCGACGAGCCTACTTCCGGGCTGGATGGCCAGTCTGCATTTAACATTGTTCGATTCATGCGAAAGCTGGCCGACGCTGGACAGGCTGTTTTGGTAAGTATCCTCTGTCTGATCGCTGCCGTCGAATCAAGCCTGACACGCCATAGTGCACGATCCATCAGCCCTCCGCTTCCCTGTTTGATGCATTCGATTACCTTCTGTTGTTGGCCAAAGGTGGCAAGATGACGTACTTCGGTGAAAGTGAGTGCAATTCCCCTAGTCAAAGGAGTTTCATGGAAGTTAAGCTAAAGCAATCTAGCCGGTGAAAATTCTCAAGTGATCCTCGACTACTTCGCCCGAAACGGTGCCCCATGCCCGGACGATATGAACCCAGCAGAGCATATTGTAGATGTTGTGCAGGGTCGGCTGAACCCCGAAGTGGACTGGAACCAAGTATGGGACCAGTCCAAAGAATGCCGGTTAGCCCTCGAGGAACTGGAAGCCCTCAAGCAAAAAACGGCTGCCGAAGCCACCGAGGAGGAAGACCTAGCGGACTATGCTACACCAAAGATGTATCAGCTCCGATTGGTGTTGGAGCGCCAAATGGTCAAGCTTTGGAGGAGTCCGGTAAGTCCTCTCATACTTCTGCAAGAGAAGCTGCTAAACCTACCAGGACTACATTTGGAACAAGATCATCCTTCACGTTTTTTCGGCTCTTTTCAGTGGCTTCACATACTGGAAAATCGGAGAGTCGGTCCTGGACCTGCAACTACAATTGTTTGCCATCTTCAATTTTGTGTTTGTTGCACCGGGTGTGATCAATCAGCTGCAGCCCTACTTCCTTCAAAATCGAGACATTTTCGAGACCCCTGAGAAGAAGGTATGCATTCCCCACATATTTCGCTTTACAAACATGCTGACACCATATTAGTCCAAAACGTACCATTGGATTGCATTTATTGGTGCACAAGCAATCTCAGAGATGCCTTATCTGGTGGTTTGTGGAACATTGTATTTCCTCTGCTGGTACTTCACAGTGGGCTTCCCCAGCGTGGCCACCATCTCCGGTCATATGTACTTCCAAATGATTTGTAAGTGCTGGAGCCAGTTCACCGAAGGGATTAAATATACTAATGCTGAATCCAGTGTATGAATTCTTGTACACGCCCATCGGGCAGGCCATCGCGGCATACGCTCCTAACGAGTACGCCGCCTCGCTGGTGAACCCCCTGATTCTTGGATCAGCTCTGGTGGGCTTCTGCGGTGTGGTCGTGCCCTATCCCGACATCAACGTGTTCTGGCGCTACTGGATGTACTACCTCGACCCCTTCACCTACCTCATCGGGGGCCTGCTCGGCGAGGTACTCTGGGATAGCCCCGTGCATTGTGGTGAGAAGGAGTGGGTGAACATTGCCCTTCCGGCCAACGAGACCTGCGGTTCCTATATGGGTACATTCGTTGAAGCTGCGGGCGGTTACATCCGGGATGCAGATTCCCAGACTTCCTGCCAATATTGTCAATACGCGAAAGGATCGGAATACGCTCTGCAATTCAATCTAAAGGCCGAGTACTATTCCTGGAGAGATGTACGTTACTCCCCTTTGCCACTGATCTTACAAGGAATAAGACTGACATTATGCTGTGACAAACCGGAATCGCTGCATTGTTCTGCATTAGTACGTACGTGTGCGTGTTTCTCATGATGAAACTTCGCAGCGAGAAGACCAAGACTGCTCGTTCGGAATAGTCCAACGTCAACAATATTTAATCGGCTATCGCTACCTCGACTTTCTCTCACTAACTATCCATATCTTGAATTGCTCCTGAGCTATTCTGTAGGTGAGACCGACCAGTCTCATACTACGCTTAAGTCCTTCCCTCCCCTTTTTTTTCTTTACATTTCTTTTTCTTGTCTTTTGTATAATAGATCGATCTTTTGAACTACACTTTTCCTTCTACTACTTCTTCTGCTAGACATGCATGTTGTTTATTGTTACTAGATCGTTTTGTCTGAGTCAATATATAGTTAATATACAATACATGTTTTTCAAGCCTTTATCCTTCTCTCATCTTTATTCCCCGCTGCGAGTGTATATCATGTATGATTCCTGTCATAGGGACTAGCTACTACTGTTACTATCATCAATAATAAACTTCCATGGGAGATGACCCTTGAAGGTGCCGGTATATACAAGATCTTGGGGCTCTATATACATTCCATTCACGATGTCTCCCCCAGGGTATAATAATATAGAGGGAACTTGCGGTCTAACAATGTGGTCCCACAAAAGATGAAGTGAGAAGGAAGTCCAATCGTGCCACGGATACCTCCATGCTTATTAGACTGATCTGTATGTTGTGGGGTATTTCAGGCAACAGGCTGATAGACGGTCTAATGCCTCGAATGGTATCACTCCGACTACGTGATCTCCACAAGTGATTAGGCACAGATTTGACGGGTAAGCTACAGGGCGGGCCCATTGCGGAGCGGGTTGCGGGACGGATCGATGAAGGCTTGAGAAGAACATGAGGCGGGACCATGTCAGGCATCACATTCTTGTTCAGGGCTTCAATGCTTGCGGTGTGTTCTGGGGTATGTGCCAGACTGTCAGCTATCTGCACGGGTGTTACCTCGGCCATTGGCCAATGCGGTTGTTTTGATCATGCTGAGAACAATTGACTAGTGATACATTGCCGAGCCAACTAGATAAAAAATTATATGTACCTGTATCTCCTATCAATACAACGATGCTCGGGATATCCATAATATCAGAGCCACATCAGCATCATCACCCAGAGCCAGTTTCTCCAGCGAAATTTCCAGTGATTCTTCTTTTAAACGGAAGGAAAATGACCGAAACATATCCAGTAGCGATCATCGGACGAGGCCCAGTCGGCCTGGTATCTTCGACCCTCTTGTCCCAGCAAAGAATCCCTCATGTGGTGTTCGAGCGTCATTCATCAACCTCAATCCATCCGAAAGCCTGTGGCATGAATATGCGCACCATCGAGATCTTCAGCCAAATGGGTATCGAAGACCAAGTCCTGGAACAACGCGCACTACCCGAGACTGTCAGCCGAATAGCCTGGTACACCAACCTTGGACCCAATGGTCTAGAGATTATCGGACGGGACACGTGGGAAGGAGGGAAATACGTGGACGAATACAAACGGGCAAGCCCTTGCCCGTATGTCGTAATCCCCCAGATCCGCCTGGAACCTATCCTGCTTCAGCAAGCCAGGAAGTTGAATCCGCATGGGATCCATTACGGGGTGGAAGTAACGGACGTTGACGGGGGTGGTGATCATGTGAGCTTGACCATCTGTGAGAAGGGCAAGTCAGAGGCTCGCAAACTCAAGGTCTGCTACGTCGTCGGGGCAGATGGTGGACGGGCATTGACCGATAACCTCGGAATCAAGTGGGAGGGAGAAAAGGACATTGTAGAGATGGTCTCGGCGCATTTCAAAGCACCCATCAGTTTGCATCACCCGGACCCTCGGGTGTTCATCACCTGGTGTATTGACCCAAAGCAAGGCGGGAGCATCAACACGGGGTATCTCTACCACCTTGGTCCGTATCCAAGCATACCAGAGACAGAGGAGTGGTTATTCGCATGCGAAATCAATCCCGATGAACCCAAAGAATTCACGGCGGAGGACATGGTCAAGAGAATGCACGGCACCCTTCACATCCCGAATCTGGAGGTGGAGATTAAAAGCATCAGTCATTGGCGCGTAAACAGCATTGTTGCGGAGCGATACCGAAGTCCCAAGGGCCGCATCTTCCTCATTAGCGACGCTGCTCATCGTATACCGCCATAGGGAGCTCTTAGCTTGAACCCGGGGATTCAAGATGCATACAATATGATTTAGAAACTCGGCATCACGGTGCGAGGCGAGTGTGCGCCACGCTGCGACGGTCTACTCAATACATATGAAACAGAGTGTCATCCCATCGCGCTACGCGTTGCACGGACGAGCCTGCACAACCTGAGGTCAAATTCGTCCGTCATGGATCGAGCACTGGGGATCACGCCCCAGCATGATGATGAACCAACGCCAGAGCCCTCCAGAGCTTTTTCAACCCTCTAGACGCTGATTATGATGCCCGGTGTCGAGCGGTCTACATGGCTCTGGAGAGCTTGGACAGCGAGTTCCACGCGCTGGGTGCGGAAATCGGTTGGTTTTACCCGGATATCGACAGATAAAGTCAGAGGAATTCTCCGGATCATGGTGGGCAACTTCTTCTAAATGGCGAGTTGGATTGCATAGAATATCATGCCTCCATCTTACCAGGTCACAATGTGCCTCATGCATGGCTCGAAAGAGACGGTGTCACTCTTTCGACCCGAGATTTGCTCCCACCTGATAGGTTCGTGTGGCTCACATCGGAGCCATACTACAGAGAAAGACCCGAGCACGATCTCGTCAGAATTGAACGGATTGGCGGAGATTTGGGTTGGCGAGATGTTGACGGGAAATGGGCGGAGTCATCCCATGCGCAGCGAGTGGCCAGCGTTTGAGTACGGCCGGATTAAATCTTTGCCTGGATAGGACAGAAGCAGCTACAGAAAAGGGGGAAGGATACGGATCCGGGCTGGCTGACAACACCTCTGTGGCGCATTCTGAAATGTTTAGGTATAGATGGGGGAACTTCAGTAGATTACAAGCTCTAAACTAAGGCCATATATTAGGCAGGATATGCTGAATGTCAGGGCAGATAGGACGGAAATGCATATGAAAGGCATAGATTTGCAACCCTCGTGCCTTGCACTTGCGCGCCACACTGCCCTATTAATGATAGCATTGTGTTCAAAAGCATCTCCCAAAGAAATCGACCAGCACAAAACCAAATATCTGATTGCTTGTCATACCTGTGCAATAGATTGCTCACAAGTGAACAAAATTGTATTCACACAATCAAGAAGATAAACTTCCCCCTGAGTTAATGTCCAGGAAGCTCTACAGCAATTAGCAACCCCATGTAGTGAAAATTATTGAAAGGGCTTGCCCAGCTTCAATTCCGTAAATCCGAAAGCCCGTCACCTCCCCCTCGCTAGGCCTCCTTGCGTTGTGCGGGACGTGTCCCGCCGTTTTATCCAACATTGCAACAATGCATCGTTAATGAATCGTTATTAAATAGAGCACGTTTCCCGCAAGTAAGTGCACCTAAGCTTTAGTGCCGATTCGAAATTCCCCCTTTTCTTTTTCTAGCTCAATTTTGGCCATCACGTCACAAAAATGTCTTGCACGACCGACGAAATCTTAATCCACTCTAATATCAAGTCCCTCCTCGTCCGCGAGAGATACTATCGAGATACGTCTCAATGGCAGAAACTCCGAGACTGCTATCACCCTGATGCGTCGCAGACACATATTGAAATTACCTGGTAAGAACTTTAGCCCCTGAGGCAATCCTGCAATGTTGCTAAAATCAACCTAGGTACCAAGGAGACATCAATGGCTTCGTACGCGGATCCGCAGACATGTCCGCCAGGGGAACCGGAGCCGTTCACACGATCTGCCCGATAGAAGTGCACTTGAACGGAGACAAAGAACAAGCCCTTACTGAATCAACCGGTTCCATTTCTATTCGGTTTGTCTACGAGGGTCGACAGTATGACTGCGTCTCATACACGCGATTCATTTCTCGTCTACAGATCGTGGACGGGCAGTGGAAGCTCCTGACTCTGGAGGCGATCTATGATCGGGATAATATCGTCCCTGTTTTGCCTGGTGCACCGGCGGATTTTCACATTGCTCCTGAGACGAGGGAGAGCTATAAATGTATTTCTTGGCTATTGGCCCGAAAGGGGTTCAAGATTAAAGAGGACTTGCCTGGGGGAGATTATCCTGCTTCGTGTGAAAGGTTGATGCTGGAGGGCTTTGAGTGGTTGAATAAATAGTCTGTCTTTTGTTGGGTTGGATCAAGACTCAATGAAATAAGAATAGAGCTTCGTTCACAGTTTTTGATTCTGGTATTCACCCTTTACATAATCACTTTGTTTTTGATCTTTAATAAAGAAATCCTATAGTAAGGAATGCTCATATATTATATATATAGAGCCTATTCTACAGGCCCCGGAATATCCTATATAAAGTACTTTAATCTGTAGATCACATACTGCTATCTAATTAACTAAACATTCTAACAGTAATTAAAAGATACTTTAAGGACAACTATAAGATAATAATCTTCTATATAGATTAATAATTCTTATATTTAAACATAATAACAAAAAGTTCTTTTTAAATTATTATTTTAATTTTTTTTAAAGATTTAACTTAAATTAGATTTATTATAATATTTCAAAAATATTAAGTTTTTGTAAATAAAATAGCTAATAGCAGTAGCTAATAATGAACTAATTATTTATTAAACTATATAAAATAATTTAAAATAATTTAAAATAATTTTAAAATAATATTATAAACAAACATATTTTAAAATAAGCTATTTATTGAAATAAAAATTAAGTTTCTTAAATAGTTAAATAATCCTTTCATAATCATTTATAAATAATATTAATATAAAATTTAATTTGAAAAAAATTATGTATTATTTATAATAATTAGTCTATCAAATCCTAACCCAGAGTACGCGGAGCATTGAACTTCAATGCTGCAAAGTGGAACTAAATATATTTTTATGATTGGCTGAACAAATGTTGACTAGGGGTTTAATACTATTATTTTTTAGAATTAAATACCTACCCACCCAGTTTACTAAATAGGCTGAGATTAATATAGGTTATGTTTATTAGGGTTTACATTAGGGTTTACATTAGGGTTTACATTAGGGTTTACATTAGGGTTTACATTAGGGTTTACATTAGGGTTTACATTAGGGTTTACATTAGGGTTTACATTAGGGTTTACATT